CCACTTGAGCCACAGGGGCCAAGCCAAGCTCCTTAGTCTTTTTTCATCCCTCTCTCTTAATCTGTTGCAGTGATCAGTAAGAAACGTTTTCAGACTTAATGTCAAAACTATGATTTTCTTTTCTTTCTTTTTTTGCAGTTTTTGGCCACAGCTGGGTTTGAACCTGCCACCTCTGGTATTTGGGGCCAGTGCCCTACTCCTTTGAGTCACAGGCGCTACCCAAAGTCATGTGGGGCTGGGCATGGTAGCTTATACCTGTAATCCTAGCACTCTGGGAGTCTGAGGTCAGCAGATCCCTTGAGCTCAGGAGTTCAAGACCAGCCTGAGCAAGAGTGAGACTTCTGTGATTTTGATACGACCATCAAATTTAACTTTGACTTCACTACTTAGTTTTATTTTGTTTGTTTTTAGTTTTTGGCTGGGGCTGGGTTTGAACCCAATACCTCTAGCATATGAGACCCTTCAGAGCCACAGGTGCCACCCTGACTTCACTACTTAAACTTTTAAAAACATTTATGTACCTCCCATCACCATGTGCATGCATTGGTCTAGAACTAATGATAAAAGTGTCAACATGACATAGACTTCACTATCATAGTTTATAAATAATGAAAAAATATTCTGAATTACTAATTGCAAAATTGGCATAGAATTTTTAAAATTGATGCTAATATGAAGACATAAAGTTACCACTATAGTAGGCATTTCCTACCATAATTAGTAATACACGAATGAACCATATAAAATGTATTTATATCAACTGAGGAAGCTTCTACCAATGTGTCACAGTCATATGACACAAATGAACCTAAGTTATGTACTGTACTTCAGAGAATAAAAAAAGCCATCTGACAAGTATCAAGTTATTGGCATCAAGCTGGGCAACAGACCGGACAGATGAACAGAATCTCCTTGGCGTTTCGTCAGTCTGCTTTCAACTACTGCCACCATTTTACATTGGTATTATATATCATAGTTTACCTTCCCAAATATCATCCCACTTACTCCCAAAAAGTGCAGTGATAAATAAAATCAGTCAGAAGACAGATTAGACTGTGTTTTATGAAACATATCCACTTTAAGGAGAATCCAGTCAAAACAGATTTAGACTACTAGGAATGGAGTTTTTTTGTTTTTTTTGTTTTTTTTGAGACAGAGCCTCAAGCTGTCCCCCTGGATAGAGTGCCATGGCATTACAGCTCACAGCAACCTCCAACTCCTGGGCTCAAGCGAGTCTCCTGCCTCTGCCTCCCAAGTAGCTGGGACCACAGGCGCCCGCCACAACGCCCGGCTATTTTTTGGTTGCAGCCGTCATTGTTGTTTGGCGGGTCCGGGCTGGGGATTCGAACCCGCCACCTTAGGTGTACGTGGCTGGCGCCTTAGCCGGTTGAGCTATAGGTGCCGAGCCAGGAATGGAGTTTTTTACATTTTATACATTAGAATTTGAATATTACAAACTATTTATTATCAATTTTTTTTTTTTTTGAGACAGAGCCTCAAGCTGTCACCCTGGGTAGAGTGCTGTGGCATCACAGGTCACAGCAACCTCAAACTCGTGGGCTTAAGCGATCCTCTTGCCTCAGCCTCCCAAGTAGCTGGGACTACAGGTGCCCGCCACAATACCTGGCTATTTTTTTATTGTAGTTGCCATTGTTGTTTGGCAGGCCCGGGCTGGATTCGAACCTGCCAGCTCAGGTATATGAGTCTGGTGCCTTAGCTGCTTGAGCTACAGGTGCCGAGCCTGTTTATGTTTATAAACATATATCCTAGGTGACTTTTTTCTTTTTTGAGACAGAGTCTTACTCAGTTCCCCTGGGGTTTAGTGCCGTGGTGTTATTGCTCATAACAACCCCAAACCTTTGGGCTCAAGTGATCTTCTTGCCTCAGCCTCCCAAGTAGCTGGAACTAAAGGCACCCACCACAACACCTGACTATTTTTAGAGACAGGGTCTCACTCTTGCTCAGGCTAGTCTCAGACTCCTAAGCTCAAGGGATCTGCTGACCTTAGCCTCCCAGAATGCTATGATTATAGGTATGAGCTACCATGCCCGGCCCCAGGTGATTTTTTTTCTTTTTGTTGTTGTTGCAGTTTGTCCAGGGTCGGTTCGAACCTGTCACCCTGGGTATATAGGGCCAGCGCCCTACCCACTGAGACACAGGTGCTGCCCCACAAGTGACTTTTTTTGGTAGTTTTGGCCAGGGCTATGTTTGAACCTGCCCCTCTGATATATGGGGCTGGTGCCCTACTCCTTTGAGCCAGGCGCTGCCCCCCAGGTGACTTTTTAATTATTTTGTATCAAGATATTATAGGGGGGAGGATGGGTGGAGGGAGAGTAATTGGTCAGACCACACTTATGGTGCATTTTACAAGCTTACTTGTCAAATCTACTAAGTGTAGAGTATAAATGTCTTTTTTTTTTTTTTTTGAGACAGAGCCTCAAGCGAT